TCTCTCTCCTTACGTTCAAAACTAAAGGTACGATATGAAAACACATAATACTATGTTTTAATAAAAAAATTTAAAGGAGTAATTTATTTTTAAAAATTTTAAATATTTTATGGTGATTAAGGAACGAAATTAATTTCAATATACTAGTATTCGTTCTTATTTTTATAAGGACAAAACTAAGACCTAATTTTATAAGTATTTTTATATTATTTTTTAATTAAAAATTAAGTTCAATCTCAGTAATCTATTTTTTTTATATATTTTATTTTAATGAGAGTTTATATTATGTGAATTATAAGGTGAAACATTAATTTTAACTAAAAGGTAGTAAAAAATACAAATGAAAATACATCTAAGCTGACATGTTATCAAATAACTAAGCAGTATTTCCATCCTTTATTTATTTATTTATTGATATCAGAAGGGATCTATAATATATCATTATAAATAATAATTTACCAATTTAAAAAAATCAAGCGATACACTTATTTATGTTAGTATATCCTTTTTATAATAAACATTAAATTGTTAGTATCTATACATCCAATATAAAATATATCTCTTTTAATATACACAAATTTTAAATTATTTTCCTCTTTTAAACTATTTTTTTTAAAAACTATTTTCTCTCGTCTCTTTCATTTCATCGTATAATTCATCATTGAAACCTTTCACACTCTTCGAATAATTATTAATTAATCTACTAAAATTAACCGTATATAAAATTTAAATATATTTTTAATTGTTTTAAAATAAATGACTTTTTATTTCGACTTTTGTAAAAGAAATTATATATCAATTTTTCAAAAAATTGTAAATATTCTTTTTTTTTTCCCTTACAAAATCAACAATTGTGGTTTTGATTTTTGTAAGATAATTTTCTTTGATTTTTATCCTTCTAAATTTTAAAGTCATTGATTTTTGTTTTTAACAATCATTTTAAAATAAATAAAAAATATTTAGTAATGTGTAAAAAAAATTTTTTTTCACCAAATGATCATTTCAATCATTTTTACTATGTGTATTTACTAAAAGGTTGAGTGATCATTTCGAATATTACTCACATGTTTGGGTGATCATTTTGAACTTATTTTACACAATATTATAGAATTAATTAACATGTGTTCATGAGATATAACTTTTTCTAAGTATTATTTTTAGAAAAATCAAACTTAGTATCTATATGATATTTAACATAATAAAAATGAGTTTAATAATCATGTCATGCATGCATTTTAGATAAAATGTTTTATATTTTTATTTAATTACATATTATATATATCATAAATTTTTTAATTTTTTAATTTTTTAATTGTTTTAGAATTCATTGAATTTTCCAATTATTATCATAAAAATCATATATTATTGTTTTTTTTTTATAAATTACAGTATATAATCATTAAAGTCAATAAAAATATAAAGTAAAATGTTGCATCAAATTAAAGCCGTCATTAATAACATAACCTTTCATACGGAAAAATGCTGCACGTTCCAACTGTTATATATATGATGTACGGAAAAGGGTAACGTGCTTTTAAAATAAATATATTTTTATCGTGTGAACATGAATTTATTTATAGAGTAAAAACGACTAATGATATAATAATTACACTCATATGTTAAAAACACTTATTTGTAGTTTAATTTTTTTAAATCATATTTTATTATATATATATA